AAGGTTAGCTTATTATTAAAATATTGTTCATTTTTAACAGTGTATTTTGCCAGACTTTTGCTCTCAGTGCATCACTAATTTGTGCTCCTCTGCGAAGTAGCTACTGTAAGCAAACACTGGTTCAATTCAGAATGCAAATTAAATTCCACGATGGCTATTAACAGTTATGTGATTATTTATGTGATTACATTTTCTACACACATTTTTAGAACCATTTCCAGTCACTTCCCCAAACACAATTAGCGTCCATCATAGCACACATCTCTGTTTCTTTTCTCACTCTGCTCCCAATCGCTTACTTTGTACTTTGCTACATAGTGTTCCTAAGCTTACTTTTTTCTTTCTAGTCGACTCCATCACTCCCATCTTGTTCTGCTCGCACTAAGCGACATTTAAATAATATGAAGAGGCAGAAGGGGGCTGGATTCATTATTTACCAGGGTCCTCCTGGGAGATGAGAAGTGACATGCGACGCAGCACTTCAGGGTGCCGAAAGACTGCACAGGGATAACTAAAGGGCACGTGACACGCTCGGGTCTATTTTTAACACCACAGACCAATGTTTGCCTGGAGGACTTCTCTTTTTTTAAGTCAGCACGGTCACTGTTATATTATCTCACACGACAGTGATAGTGATGATAAAGAATGCAGTTATTTACTACGAGTTCATGACATGTTTTACTGTCATGTATAAATGATACCAAGGTCGCATGATATCTACAAAAACAAAATGTGTTATTTTAGGATGGTCTCTGAAAGTGTGATGAAATTCAATTAAAACTAATAAGTCACGTGTCAGGTGGGGTCATACCGGCCTCCCTTGGGTGCTCGGTTAGACGGCTTCGGTGGCTAATTAACACTCTCTAATTAAAACGTATGCGATCAAAGCTACTGCCATGTGTCTACACATAGCCGAAAGAGATCCGATGGGGAGGGAAGGAAGAGAGGCAGGCAGTGTATTTCTCTAAGGTGCTGTTGGGTGAAAACTCTGAAATACTGTACAGATCTGTGTTAGGCTGTAGGTAATGGTGGTTTATTGCTGGAACTTTCGACACTATTGTCGGCTGCAGTTCCTGAAGGCTGACCCACCTGGCACTGCTCCAGTGTTGTCAGCTTCATTTGTGTACTGTAGTGCCTTACTCAATACTGTCATGCCCCGAGAACCACACCAGTGGCACTTGACCACATAGTTGACTGCAAGCATGAAAGCAAATACTACAGTAAGTCTTTTGTACCGCTTTGTAAATCATTAAGTGCTCTTCCTGACACAGGAACCTAGCTTTACTATAGTTTATACAGTGATATAATAGTGATATACTGGTTTATTCAATAGCATAAAGGTTTTTTTTTAAATCATTTTATATTATTTTATGTTTGATTATGTCAGACTCATTACAGCTTACGGAAAATTGGGGTGAATAATTTTTAATTAGGGCGACGTGGTGGTGCAGTAGGTAGTGCTGTCACCTCATAGCAAGAAGGTTGCCGTTTCAAGCCTCGGCCTGGTCAGTTGGCATTTCTGTGTGGAGTTTGCATGTTCTCCCCACTTTCACGTGGGTTTCCTCCAGGGGCTCTGCTTTCCCCCACAACTCCAAAGACATGCGGTACGTGTGTGAATTAGAGTGTATGGGTGTTTTCCACTGATGGGTTGCAGCTGGAAGGGCATCATAAAACATATGCTGGATAAGTTGGCGATTCATTCCACTGTGGTGACCCCAGATTAATAAAGGGACTAAGCCGAAGAGAAAATGAATGAATGAATGAATGAATTTTTAATTAGAACTATTTGGATGGCAGTTGTTTCTCAGTGGGGATGTTTGTGAAGGAAAATATTCCATAATTGTCCAGCTAATCAATGATTAAAAACAATATTTCAGACAAAAAACATTTCGAGTAGGACATCATTATTTTTTTAAATTGTACCGACCTAGAATTAAATGTTTTACATGATTATTCACATCCTCAATCAGAAGCTATAGTATTTATATGTGGAATCAAATACAATCCAGTTTCCAGCACTAACCCTGATCAAACACATGCTAAATTCACACAGGGCATCAACATCAGTGCTGGTGTGATTGTCCTGAAAACAACCAATTGCATTAGACCACAACAAAAAGGCAGCATCATGCCACATACGGACATTACATTTCTAGCACTTTGTGTAAGTGTCCATTCTAGTTTCATCATTTTTCTGATGCAGATTACTATGAAGTGCAACCATATGGTGTGTTCAGTGGCCAAAACATGATTTACAAAATGATTTTTGGATTGATGTCCATTAGAAACTCAGTGATGTGGGTTTAGAAAGCAATTAATTTATCACACAACCTCTGTTATGTAAAAAAACAGTTAATTTCATGCTAATCATTACAGAAAAAAAAAGACATTCAGGATTCAAAACTATCAACTTTCCCTTGTAAATGGTGGGAATCTCTTACTTCCCCCTGAGAAACTATTACCATTCGAATAGGGCTACTTTTGTATTTGGTTTTGTCAACAAAAAAAAATAATAATAACGGCATGTTTTAAATAAAATGTAAGCAACATGTACCTTTAATATGTATTTACTTTTACTCACCTACTGTAGGCAAAAGTTATCCATATACATTCCCATCACTTTCTCAAATCAAAAACTTTCTATTGTATCCACATATCAATATTTGGGAATCAGTCTTGATTATCACTTTACTTATTGTGACATGTTCAAAATGTCTATAAAAAGCTGAAACAAAAGCTGTTTTTTTTTTTTTTTGATTGTTTATGGGAAAATTAGGACAAATTAGCCTTTTCCTGTTTCTGAAACTTATCTTCATGCCTTCATTTTGTCCACCTTGTCATACAGTTTGCCTGTTTGGTCAATCACAACAAATGATATCTTGGAGCCAATAGCTAGACTGTACAATAGGGCCTATAAGACCCACAATAGACTTTCTGGTTGGACACTCTCTAATGCCTGATTATTTCAAAATAACACTATGAACACATGAATTAAACTGGATCAAGTTTTAAATCGTGCTACCCTAGCAGCCCTTTGTGCTTATACCAAAACTTAATACAAGGACGGATCGTTCCACTAGATTTGCAACAAATTAACGCCGTTACCAGATTTTATGGACAGTGATCTTTCTTTTATGTATTCACAAAAGCCTGGATTGAGATCCTACAACATCTAAAAACAATACCAAGACTGAGACTTTTATTTAAAATAAATCCTATGCTCGTCATCTGATGGTCAACTATTGTTGTAGACACTGAGATAGTAGCCTGTCTATAAAGGTATTTTGGGTGCAAAATTCCCAAGCAGCTGTAAAAGTTTTATTTGTAGTTGTAAAGAATAGCAATAAATGTGTATCATTCAATTTGTACTCGCAGAGCAAATTTGCAAATGTGTATCAATACATTTGTACTTACAGAGCAAATTTGTGTGTTGGTATTTTTGTCCCCAACAAACACAACGCAACATTTACACCTTTTCAAATCCTTCAGTGCAGATGCACAAATCCCATCGGACGAATCACAAATACAGAAAGTCATCCGCTCATGTTCGATGCTACTGTTGTTGCAGTGAATATGGTGCAAAACACATTCACACACCTGCATCCAAAAATGTGAAGTCACAGACAAAACTTGCACATCTGTAAATTAGAATGTGCATCCGGGCAAAGAGAGCTGAGCGCGTGTAAACGTTTGATTTATTTTTGTCTAAGCACGTACACATATATGTTACTGCAACGGCTCGAATTTGCCGCTACAAGTCTCAAGCGCTGTTTTTCACTTCAAAAAACATGCAAATCTATGTTTCAAGCTTTCCTGAGCGAACCTGCTTTGTGCTGGTTTAGGCCCGCTTATCTTTAAATCTTTTCCTGTGTAAAAATGATCAATAAATAGATAGATACATTATAAATAAATACAAACCTTTTATTGGCAAATAAGCTACACAGATGTCCCTTACAAAAGAGTACTGTGACAAGATCTTACACCCAGAAAGGTACAATATTTACCAATTTTTAAAATGTCACTTTACTTGGAAGTAGAAATTAAGCACCATAGCTGTAAGATCTAAAGTATTATCAGGAGTTATATATGGTGACCTATTCCCCTCTGCTTTGGATGTAAAGGTCACATGTTGATGAATTTCTCTCAGCAACATTAGCCATGACAAATACATTCTGGCTCAGATGCCTTCAGCAAGTGGATGATTTAAGCACCATGAAAATTCTTCATGCCTAGTGTCTGTCATGCTTGTGTCAAATCTGTATTTTATTCACTCCTGGCAGACATACAGATTTCGGTACCACTTTGATACAATGTACAATTCACGCTATTGATAAACCATTAATTAACTGTGCGTTCACAACAAAGGTGATGAGGGTGTCATTGTTCGCTCAGGCTGCCTTGGGGACAACGTTGTCTGAATTAGCTAGATTTATCCCAACTTTGCAGCAAATTAGTTACATTCCTGCATAAAAACATACTTTATAGCATGAAAATGTTGTTGATTTTAAGATCAAATTAATTTAACTATGGAAGATCAAGTTGTTGCATGTAGTGTGGCTTTGCTCTACGTATTCAATATGGGTCCATGTCTGAAATATAAAAGCAGCAATACTGTTTAGTCCTGTCATTATAGTTAACGTGAGACTTACCACTCACGTTGACGAACACATGCCTTGCCGCTCCCCGCTGCTTATCAACACCGGCTCCCATTGAAAACGAATGACTTCTGGCTTTTTTGATGCTCTTGTCGCCTTTTGGTGTGAATGCACAGTAAGGCTATTACTGTAGCTCAATAAGCTCCTAATTAGCTGCTTATTAAAATGTATTAAGGTTGTAGTTTGGTTTAGGTATTAGGTAGGATCAGGTATGTAGAATAAGATCATACTTTATAAGTACTAAAACAGTTAATATCTTTATAATATGCAAGTAATAAGCCTTTAGTTAATTGTGACAAACTAAAGTGCTACCCAGATTTCTTATACATCTTTATGTCTTCACAGATTGTTTTCCGCAAGATTGCAGATGTAAAGAAGGAGGAAGAAGAGAGGAGACACCAAAAGAATGAGGTGACATTGTCTATCCCTGTGGACCATCCTGTCCGCAAGCTCTTCCAAAAATTCAAACAGCAAAAGGAGATGCGCACACAAGGTCCATCCCAGTATGACCTGGAGAGGAACCAGTTTCAGGTAGAACACCACCTCCATCCGCTGTCCCACCAGCTTCATCAGCAGCAATATCAGCCCCAGTACCAGGGACATCATTCCCTTCAACACCAACACGTGGCCCCTATGCAAAATGGGGCCCCTGGCTCGGGAAATGGTAATGGTGGTTCTTGTGTCGTGACTGTCTCACAAATAACCCCAATACAGAGTGCCCTAGCCTACGCTCAGACTGAGGAAACGAACATGAGTGAAGGTCATGAGGCTATGGAGCTCAAGCCCAACTTTGGTGCAGAGGACTCGAATTGTCTAAAGGTAACAAGTCCTGTGAAACCCAGAGCAGGAAAGGGACGAGGCTGGATGCGTTTCCATAACATTGCATCCGGATCATCTCCAATGCTTCCACTGGAATTAGAGAAACAGCCACAGCAGAAGGAAGAGGAGTGGGGGGATGTATCTCAGCCCCTGAATGCAATCTCAGAGGACAGGAAGGGCCAGGAAGCAGAGGGTGGTGGGTCCCAGAAAGAGGGTCCCAGTGGAAACAGTAACAGTAGCGAGGAGACTGATGAGAATAGTGCCCTACACAAGACTGATTCTTGTGACAGTGGAATCACAAAGAGTGACTTGCGTATTGACCGAGTAGGGGATTCGCGTAGCCCTTATGATAGGTGCTCAATGGAAAGGAGCCCTTTTGATCAGCCTAGTCCAGGAGTGGTAGACGTGACTCTTCGGGGGATTCACTTTCAGCCTGTTCCAGACCAGGCTGTGCTTCAGAACAGCTTGTACGAGGCAAAGCAGGAACTGAAAGGTGACATCCAGACATTAAACAGCCGACTAGCGGCTCTGGAGGACCAGGTAGGGGAGATTTTAAGACTTCTCTCCGAAAAAAGGAAACCTTCTCCACCTTCCCAGACCTCCTCGCCAAAAACCACACTTGAGTGCCAGGACATATTTGCTGTTTCTCAGCCCGTCACTCCAGAGACGGAGGGCGATGATGGGCCGCTTTGAATTAGGAGAAATATATTTAGATATTGATATGCTGTTTTTATTTATCACTTGCCCTTCCTCTCACTCAGGAAGGAAAGGTGAATACTGGTGATCAGAGGAAGGATCTTTGCTGTTGTAAATATATCCTTGCATGTCCAGCTGGAATCTGGCCTGCCAATGAAATCTTCTGTACGGATAGTGGTTTGCTTGTACACGTACGGAGTCGGCTGCATGCGGAGATGATTTTATTCTGACCTTGCACATGGGATCTTTTAACCAGGTGATATTTCAGGGCATTTTCTCTTTGAGTGACGGCTTGATGCCCCAGATGTGGGATCTTGGGTTGCTGTAAGGCAGAATCAGGCTTGGTTTATACCTCCACCTTAAATGACCAATTGAAAGGATAGTTCACCCAAACATACCTACCCACAAGTCTTTCCAAACTTTTGACCATTTCATGAAAGGCAAGGTGTCGAAATGAGCATTAGATCCTACAGATTTTGATTGTCTGTACAAGTTTCAAGACTTTGTAATTGAAAGAAGAAAGCCATACAGGTTTGAACTGACATGAGGGCAAGTGAATGATAGCAGAACATTCATATTTGGCTGAACTGTCCTTTTTTTTTTTTTGCTCGATATTTCTTCCCCCTCCAGTATGCAGTTCTCTTTTATAAGCATAATTGGAAGTTTGCAAGATTGTTTGCCTAAATGATTCTTGAATTTGATTAAGGAGATAATCCAATAACTCATTTTTTGATATGAGAAACCCATCTCATCACAGACACTGTTTCAAATTCCATTATCATTATCGCCTTTTTGTATTTATTTTGTGGAACGTAATGATAGATAAGACAGAAATGATTTACCCATTTTTAGGTGGGGGCTGTTTTTCATGTTTTAGACAGATATATCTGCATGCTGGATGGATTTAGCTCTGGCATGGTAGGACTAGGGACTAATTGTTTTCCCCTTATCAATTATGCAAACATACAAAGTGCAAGTCACAAAGGGGGGGGGGGGGCTGCATTTTGCGAAAGCATGAACACCTTTAAGTCATTTGGAAATTATACAAGCATGCCCTGAATTCTTTGCATGACATCAACATAGCGTGTTACATACGAACAGTCATGGATTCTTAGTATTGTTTCCAAAGAGATATCAATATGTATCACCCACAATTCATTTAAGTTCAGATGGGTATTTTGAAATATTTAACTTTTGATCCCTAACCTAAAAACACACCAAACTGTTTACTAAGCAGTGTGGTTTTGGAAGTACCACTGAGTTGGTCATTTGAAAGTGCTGTGGGGAATTTTCCAAATAGTATCTTATTAAGTTCACAGTTGGTGACTCACTGCATATCAGCATACTCGCGGGTGCTTTAGATGGTTTACAGTGTAATGACTAATGCCCCTTCACCTCTTATTTCCCACTAGTTCTATTGTAATATTATTAGTCAATATAAGTGATGCTCACACCAAACACAAGTGAATGGAGTCCATGAAGATAAATACAACAACAACAGGTGTATGGTTGTATTCCTTTTACTGTTACTGCCTATAGATACTGTAACAAGAAATTATTCCTGTTGAAAGATCCACAAACAAGCAACAGTATTCCAGCAATAGCCTTATCGCATATCCCTCCACTTATTCCCTAATTTGGTTCTCTCCTTGATAAACACATGCTCATCACTGTAAGTGCTCAGATAATAATATTAGTTCAAACTAATCTTTTTTGTTTAATCATAATTTTAGAGTTTATGATGTTCACTGGGACCAAAGACATTAGTACTTTTGTAATGACATTACAGATTACATCCTTTAAGCAATTTCCTGATCTCATTATTACCTGTCACCAGTGCATGGCGATAAAAGCTTTACTGAGTTATTCTGGTTTGTAAATGACAAGAATGCAAAATGTTCAAAATTCATTGAGAAAAATATAACTTACTTGACATATTTAAAAAAAAAAACTGAATATATATTGACAGTGTGCTTTATAAAAAAAGATAATACAATTTTTTAAATATAATTATGTATTCTGTATTTTACTTTAATCTGATCAATCAGTATCATAAATATGGTAAATATACAGTTGAAGTCAGATTTATCAGCCCCCTGAATTTCTTTTTATTGTTATTTTAAATATTTCCCAAATTATGTTTTACAGAGCAAGGACATTTTCATAGTATGATAATATTTTTCTTATATCTTAGTTGTTTTATTTCTGCTAGACTAAAAGCAGTTTTTAATAAATAATTTAAATTGATTGTACACTCAAAATTAGTAATTGTAAAGATTTACTCCTTCTCAGGTTAATCCAAAACTTCTTTAGATCTTCCAAAAAGTAGCCAAAGTATTTGGGCATCCAAAACATTTTTGGACCCATTAGTTTTACTTTTTTTTTTTCTTGGTTACCAGCAATTGATGGTTATCTTCAATTTGCATATTTAGTGGGAATAAATATTAAACATTGAAGATTGAAAAAAGTGAAAAGTAAATTTATTTCTTTCTTTCTTTCTTTCTTTCTTTCTTTCTTTCTTTCTTTCTTTCTTTCTTTCTTTCTTTCTTTCTTTCTTTCTTTCTTTCTTCCTTCCTTCCTTTCCTTCCTTCCTTCCTTCCTTTCCTTCCTTCCTGTCCATCCGTCCTTTCTTTCTTTCTTTCTTTCTTTCTTTCTTTCTTTCTTTCTTTCTTTCTTTCTTTCTTTCTTTCTTTCTTTCTTTCTTTCTTTCTTTCTTTCTTTCTTCCTTCCTTTCCTTTCCTTTTGTCCATCTGTCCTTTCTTTCTTTCTTTCTTTCTTTCTTTCTTTCTTTCTTTCTTTCTTTCTTTCTTTCTTTCTTCAAATTAAACTAAAGTCTTCAATATAAGATGACAAGTCTTAAAGATATCTTTAAGTCTTAGGTTGCTTTCACACTTAGTTTAGTTGCCTCGACCATACCCTAGTTCGATTGTCCCCTCCCTGTCACCTTCTTGGTTGGTTTGTTTTCACACCGTCTTTTTTCCTTCTGAACCCCAGTACGCTTGCATCATCACGCTGCTGTTGTGTGCACGGCTGTTGCTGGGTGATGGAAACGAAAGCAAAGCATCAAAACGTAAATATGTCCGCACATCGCAGTCATTCTACTTTAACTAAATCTTTTTAATTTTGGACATACAGAAACCGACTCACTGAAAAATTATTCTAAACGTTAAGAACATCACGCTATGTCTGCAGAAGCTGTTTTTGGAGGAGGCAAGCAGACATTATTCCTGTGCTTGCCCTGGCTCAAATGATAGTTTGTTGTACATTTGGTGGTTCACTTCTAAAATTTGGTACGATTGCATTCACACCATAAGTGAACTAGACCAGAGTTTGCATGAACCGTACCCCAGACAACCTCTTTCAGGTGGAGTTGGGTACAGTTCTTAGGTGCGCACATGAGTTCTTGAAGACACTTTCACTCTAACTAAACGTACCCTACTCTGATGTCAAACGAACCCAGATGCGGACCAAAAGGGCTAGTGTGAAAGCACCCTTAAGCAGGTCACACACCGGATTCGCTGCTCGGCGCCGCAACACAACGCGCACATGACAGTTGGAAGAATCGCACACCAGACGCGTACATTCACATGATATTTAAAATGAAAGTATTCACATGGCTCTCAGTGGTGCGGCAGAAATATGAACAGTGTCCTGAGTCGTGGCTGGACGCATAGAAACCTATGTCTAGAATTCTAAAATTCATGGCACTGTGGGGTAGCGCTTCTGGTGTGTGACCTGCTTTAAAGAGTCTTTAACACTTCACGTCTTGCATTCCACAAAAGAAACTCTAGAAGAGTATAATTACAAGTCAGAATAACAGAATTTTTTTCTTTTTTTGGGAACTATCAACATAAAAATGTTTAATATCAACAATAACATCCTCTAATACGAACTCATGCATTAAGCTTCATAAAAAATAAAACACTTTTTAATATACCGGTTTCATGCCTTGAGGTTCCAGCATCCAGTGCTCCTTTATTCTGTTTGAGTTATTTTTCCTGTCATTCAGCCCAGCAGAGAGGAGCACAGACAGTGAAGGGATTATTCTGTGAGTCTCTATGAAATTGAAGAGATTGATATAATAGATGCTAAAAGCTGTAATAGTGTTGCAGACGACGTGAGTCTCCATAATAATGGCTCTGACTCGCTGTGTGAACCCCGGGGTGTCAGTTCTGAGGATTACACACAGTTTCTGAAAAGCTTTGTGGGTATTGGAAATTTTTGGGAGTGGGGAGGGTTTTGGATGATGTGCCCGATCCTTACACCCGCTGGAGCCGACAGTGAGCACTAAAGGCCCAGTGAGTTTTTGGACTCTGGCATCTGACTGCATGCTGCATTTTTGAACTGTATAAAAAAAACCTAATGCCAATGAGAATGATTATTGCCTGCCAAAGCAGTGATTTGCTGCAACTTTTCATGCACATGTACAAAATGGGCAGAGACCTGGGCACTAATCATAAAAACACGTCATAAAGTACATGATGAAGACATTTTGTGCCAATACAGGAGGTTTTAAATGACTACCAATTTATGCTGGCCATGCACCACAATCTGTAGAATTATAAACAATAACTCAATATATTCAGTATGTATCAAGCCCACAGACTGTATAAATAAAAAAGAGCAAATGAATGACCAAGTTTTACCTATAACAGTCTAATATCACATAATTACTGTATATTATCCCAAATTATTAGCTACAGTGCCTTTAAAATGATTCATGCCATGACAGTCAGATCATTTTTCTCTAAAGACAAATAGATTTTTGACAATAACTGATAAATCAAACCTATGAGGTATTTCAGGTGGGGAAAATGAAAGAGAAATACTTTTGTAATCAGCACTAATGCGAAAATGTTTTCTTGTTATATTGTTTTACAACAATTACCCTCATATGACATGTTTTGGCTTTTTTGTCAGATTTCTTAAAATTGTGTGTGTGTGTGTGTGTGTGTGTGTGTGTGTGTGTGTGTGTGTGTGTGTGTGTGTGTGTGTGTGTGTGTGTGTGTGTGTGTGTGTGTGTGTGTGTGCGTGCGTGCGTGTGTGTGTGTAAATGCTCATTATTC